CATCAGTAAATTACAAGTTTCAAGCTGTGAGCACCTGGTCGTTTTCGCGTTAAGCACATGCGGGGTGTTTCTTAACCCTATATATGGTGGATGGCCTGCAATCTACCACGTGGAGAAGGCGCGAACTCACCACGTAGATCACGGGTGATTTCATGCCAAATGCGGAAAATTTTGGCTGACGGAACAAGATGTTTGAAAAGGAATGAGACTGGTCCAAAACAATTGCCAACCATTCGATTTAGAGCTGCTCTTGCAATTCCGTCATCAGCATCCCCGAAACGTAAAAAGGGTGCATCAGTACCTTTAAGTTTTCAGGTAGTAGCGCAGGCAGCGAATCCTTAGACTACGTGATGGTACTGGTGCTTTCTGAGAGATGAAAGTTTATGCTGTACGCTGCTCGGTGTTATCCACCTCCTTGAGCACTGATGCGACCGCAGCTCTGTCAGTAGCATGCCCTAGGATGCCCTAAATTTTCCCCTAATACGCATCTACTCTGAATACCTGTTATGATGCTGCCTTCCAGTTTGCTTAATACTGCCTGAATGTGCTCTTGATGTGCATTTAATTTCGGGTAAGCGTTGAGAAAGCAATCTATTTAAGCTTTGGTGAACTGAAGTTCTCCCAGAAAGGAGCATTCTGGAGACAAAATCGCATCCGAAAAGTCACATAATCAGAATAGGGTGGTAGCGGATTTTCAAACAGATATTTGTCAGCCACTGGAATGTTCTGATAGGTACGAACAAAGTATCCTATACTAAATATTGTGTGGGATCAAAGACTTCTTGTAATACCCTTTATGCGGGGTAACGCCCAATTGTTTAGAACAGTTTGCTTATTAACGGCTTTTCAGCCCCAGCAGAGGATCAATAGTTTTGACTTTTCTAAGGCAACTTGAGTAAAGGTCAAGATCACTGACTTTTCGATATCTCAGAATTCCTTAAATTAAAGGCCAATTCCAATACAGTGTTCAACACCTTCGGTCTGTCCCTGATAAATATAATAAATCATCTGAAAACGAGGTAATATATTCCTTTGAGTTATGAGTATGATCGTGAGGGTCGTTGGAAGTATGGTGCTTTCCAGGCGTCGAACGTGGAATTCATGAATGCGGATTGCAGTCCTCTTAAGCTGACTGCAACATTGCTGAAAAGCTTTCATCTGCTCCTCACACGATTTTCCCCGTGTAACCTTCAGGCGCCCAACTAGTCGTCTTTTATTCCGACTCCTACCCGAGCGATGGCCTGGTGCGCGATGCCACCAACGACCTCCTCAGCGTGTGTCCAATCCATCTCCGTTTTCTCTCCGGCACATTTGTTGAGCAACAGGTTCTTGATTGGTTCGTCTCGAGAGTTGAGTCTAGGTAATGAATCTCTTAATAACATACGGTCTGTTAAGCTGTAAACCTTTGGATCATAATTTGTATTTGGCAATAAACAGCCAATGGTTTCGTGCCATACTCCGTCATCTCCGTATTTACTCGGCAAAGAGCATGTACGGTTTTGTGGAGGACACACGAGCTGTCTAGTCCACACAGAAGTCTTATTTGAATCCTCACGAGTTTTTGCCTGTATGGGTCCTTATGGAGTAAACTGTTCCTCAAAAATTAAAGTCTGGTCAGCCATGAATTAACTGATAGTTCCAGAGTTTACTGAAATTTGAAGGTCTCCACTGCTACGGTTACTTGCGCCCAATTGATTCTGTGCGGAGTGGACTGGCGGAACCAGGACTAGGCGGCCAATTATCCTCTCTATCTGTCTATATATATATATATATAACGTCATAAGATTCACTTAAATTGAGGTCATCAAAGTGCCTTTCTGTATTCTATAACTTACGTTTTCATCATCTTCCACTCCTATAGCTGAAAGTCTGGAGGCACACAATCATTTCATAAAAAGCTTGCGCAATCCGAAACTCGGTTGGATTACAGAGTACTAACTGCCAAATGCCTCCCAAAACTTCAGGGTTATTTACCCTGCAGGATAATTTTTGTCGGCAAAACGCACTTACCCGATTCCAAACCTTAACTGATCCCTAAAACCTGAACTTATTCACAAAGGAGCGTAAAAGTGAATAAGTAACAAGCTTTTGAAGCAGAAGATGCACACAATATCCCCTAGTAGCTTCTCCGGTTCATACAACTAATCCTGAAGGATCTGAGTGATGACTGCTATACTGTAACTTCATTGAAGAATCGCTAGTGCCAAAACAAAAGTGCAAGGATTTTAAGCGTAGTAAATGCGACTCGTTTGGCACTTTATTCTGATATTTTTGTATTGAGACTTTTAAGTCTTTAATAAGACGTGCTTTTCCTCCCTAACCGGAAATATCCAATTTTGTGAATTATTCGTTTGGGAAACCTGATCTTACTATCCGGCGAATTTTTATTCAACCATTTGTTCCTCACCGAGCCTGTGTGTGGTACTTCCCGCTGTCTCGAACAACTGCCAAAGCTTCAGGTGCTACTTCTGTAGCAACACCCTCCTCACTCTTTCAAATATACAGGACTTGTGGGTCTGTTACGTGATTGCTGTGAAACCGAATAACCCGAAAGTTACAGGTAAAGTCTAAAGCTTTTACTTAAATACTTTATCCTTCTTTTCTGTGCTCTCTATTGTCTTTTGCTGTAAGTCTATTGGACAAAATAACAGTCTCTTATTATTTAATCACCAGTATTAATTTAGGAGTAAAATGACAATAGATTCTCAACCTAAAATAAGTAATGGGACATCATACTCTGTAGTTACCAGGGCTTCAGCCAAACTAGGCAAACAGGAGAAGGTGATGGACTCACGCATACCGGTCCTGAAGACCAGGGCTAATATTCCCAGCTCGTACAGATTACCCATGTCGCCACAGTCCTACAGTGAAGCTGTGCAAAGTCAGCCAAGTGGATGTGGCTCCACCCCTGTTAACAGATCCGAGTGGGAAAATTGCACTAAGTGAGAACTTCATAACACCCATCCCCATGGTAGACCATGAAACAAATAGGAGGGCCAAAAAGAAACGTTCACGACGTCGCAAGACGACAAGAACGCTCCCCAAGAAGACAGACGACTGCAAGGTCTGTGCTTCTGTTGTCGAACAAGCAGACTCTGCTTTCGAATGTAACTTTTGCAACCGATGGGTGCATTGCAGATGCGACAGTGGGGTACCAAAAGCATATTATGACTTTATGCGTAAAAACCCATGCCAATGGTTCTGGTACATATGCCCGAGTTGCCGTCCTGATGTAGCCTCGCGTAGTCCTTTGAAAACTAAAGATGGCACAGAAGTAGCGGGGAAAAAGGTGAAAAGCTCGACCCCCACCAATCCGGAAGTTAGTACAAACGCGCGTAAACCGGGAATACCAAAATCCTCACCGGTTAAACTTGTAACTCTTGCCATAACCGCTCCAAACACAGAGGCTGGAGAACCACGGGTTTCCGTCGTTGGAAAAAGACCCCAACCGTCTATCAGTAATGCTGGCTATAGCACTGAGACACATAAAAATACCCAGTCGCACCAGTCAAACCAAAACGGTCTTAAAGGTGATCACAAACGTGCGAGGACCGAGCCCAAGCCCACGGTTAGCAGATCAAATTGTGTAATCCTCTTTAATGTACCAGACTGTAGCAGTAGTCTGCTGAAAGATAGGGCCCTATTTGATCAGGAACAGTGGTCCATCTTGAGTAGCACACTGGGTTTGGACATCCAACCAGTAAATCTATGCAGATTGTATAGGGGCACTGCTGCACCTGAAGGCAAACCATCCCCACTGAGGGTAACATTGGGCTCTACCGAGGATGTTGAAAAAGTGTTACTGGCTTCTCAAGTCCTTTCTATAGGGAGGGCCTGTAACATACGTGTTAAGCCAGACAGGCCGTGGAAGGAAAGACAAATGGCGAGGGAGTCGCCAGAGCTCATTCCTTCTGCCTCCATGGTTGTACATGGCATTCCTGAACTGGTAACTGGGAACGCCTGCGAAAAGCATTGTCATGATGTACAACAATGGAGATGGTTAGCATCCCAGATGGCCCTGGGAAGTTCAGGGGCTGTCTCTATTTATAGACTGCCTCAACCCACTCATCTTATGTCAATTAACTCGCCACGTCTGTTAGCTGTCAAGTTCAGCTCCCAAGACCAGTTGAATACCGCTCTCCATAGATGGTACGAGACCAAGGGCGAGGTCAGCAAACACATTCGCTGCTGCGAGAGCCGGCCTCGCACTCAAAGGAGAGAACAAAGCGTAGTAAAAGAAAATCCTCAACCCCTAGTCACAATACAGCGGTGCAGCACTGACGGTATCATTAATACTTTTAAGGTCAATAGGTCGCGTGCGATCACATTTCTTTTCGCTTCGTGTTTGCCGTCTCTGGAACGCTTTACCGGCGGCCGTGACTACAGCACCATCTCTGGAGATTTTTAAGCGGAAGCTAGACAATCATGCAGAAATGCAAGGTTTGTGTCTCAATGGCTTATCCTGATAAAATTTGAAACCACACTGTCAATGAATAAGCGTACAAACTAAATCCCCACGACCTATTCTGCCTTCTCTCACTCTATCTTTTCCTTAGGTCACCTTTATTATTCCACTTATCTCAACCTATATTATCTACACTACAACCTATTATTATTATTATGATTATTACTATTCTGCTTTTATGACTACACCGAATGACCAACGGGATTTAGGTCAAACTCCATTCACGGCAGCAATACAGTCCTAACATACTGCATACTACAAACCACATCTCGACCAATCCCCGCACCACTCCTCCTGGAGTCTACCAGAGCTAAAGCAGTCGAGTGTCGGGACTTACTACGCAGAAGCTCACCGAAGATCAGGAACCTCTACCTCACAATCAAGAAGCGAGCTCAAAGAAATCACTGGTTTATACTAGCTCGTAATCAGGATATTGGATATTGGAAATGACCTTCGCGGTATCATTAATACTTTTAAGGTCAATAGGTCGCGTAAATAAGACGGGGATTATTTATTGTCAGTCGAACTGTATGGTATGGTAAACCCGATTAAAAGCATGGCATGTCGACATGTTCAAAATATGGTTCAGAGTGTCTCTAAATGTTCTGGAAACGAGGCTCCTTATTCACCTGTCATAGACACTAACTCTGATTCGGCCTCTAGCTCCGTTAACACATCTAAGAGCTGTAAAATTTCAGGACAACCAGAGAAAAAAACCGAATGTCACTCAGAATCAGATGAAAGATGTCATAGCAAAAATTGTCTTGCGCCTAACATATCTAGTCCCTGTGCTTTCCATTGCGAAGAAGATCAGCAGTTACCTATTAAGTGTGCACAATCAAAAAAGATTTCACATGAAGGTATTAACGTGTAATGTTTAACTTCTGTCTAGACTTAGACGATCGCCAGTCTCCGAATGACTATCTTTGGCAGAAGTTGGAAGCGTTGATTGACCAGATGATCTCAGAGGAGGATGGGATTCCCGTCCGCAATGTGAAAAGTCTTATGTCCGTTATTCCCAGTACATTCACAGGTTTGTTACTTTTTGCATCTTTGCACTGTTTCTCCCACAACTCTGTATATTTACAGATTAATATGTTTCATGTATGTCAAAACGGTGATTGTAATAAAAAGTATCAGCAGTTTGTATTCAGAAACAGATCCTATGTGCAAGTGTGACCTTGCAGTGTGATATCAATTTGACGACATGTTCGCTCCGATTTCGACCTAGAGAAGGTAGAAATGTGCTGTTGCAAAGTATTTTCATCTTAGACATCGAGCATCTTGTGTTGTTTGCATTGTCGTAGAAAGACATTACAGACGACACATTTGAAGGTGGAGCTGCAGAATCTTTGCATAACATCATGGTATCTGGAAGTTTTTCCCGGTAGTTGGCTCTACTAGGGTTTCTGTTAGAAGTATGGAAATATAGATTTACCTACAACATGCTTGGTTGTTTTACGTGTCCTTCTATGCGCGGTTTGACACCACCCGAGACACACCTATCCAGCTAATATTACATTCGTGTGTTCTGTACACTTTGCCTATTGTCGAAAGCTTCCAAGGTCTTTTCTTCTGTAACTGACGAGTATAATAAATGGGAACAATATTTAAAAAGTATTGTTTCCAATTAAATCTCATCAGTCGTCTACATACGCAACTCCGCAAATAATTATATACTAATCGTGGTGATCTGTCAGTAGGATGGTGTGGTTGTGCATGTATGCTTTGCAATTAGTCATAATCACAATAACTACTAAAATCGATGATGAAATATCAAGGTTATTTGTGATAACAAGGGTAATGGAATTTGGTATAATTATACACACAGATGTTAGACGTAGTAGATAAAAACCAAGGAGAAGGAATAGGTTATATAATACTAGACCGTTGGGAAAGTAAATAAACCAAGTTTAAATGAGAATGTGATAAAACTAAAGAAGAGTTTATGTGCATCATTTTCGCATGATGAAGTATAAAGGCTCTTACTACTAAAGTAGAATTTCAAATACTGCTCATGTCAAATAAGTTCCACACTCGCATATGCGCCTAACATCTGCCCAACGTTTCTGTTAGTTACGAATCTCAGGTATTCAAGGAACTTATATTTAATATTTGAAGCTGCTTGTGCTCCTGTCGTTTTATGAAAAATTCCCATTTGCATACGTGCGAAAAGTGCAGCATTATTTAGCAAAGATTCTTATTGTTTGTTTCATGTAATTGTGCCGTATTGCTGGAAAGTGTCTATTTGTTGGACCTCGTGCTTTGTTTATTATTTTATCATGATGTACATATTATCATTCTGTGGGAGCACAGTGCTGTAAGCCGAGGTGCTTTTGTTGAAAGGCGTTGTGTGCGAATTTGCACTAATTATTTCACTCTAAATAGTATCATCTTCGAATTCACACCCTCAGGACTATGATTCGGCTGTTGAGTCGAAAATACTGATATTCTGATCGCCTTCAACAGACTTTCATAAGGTAATAGTTTATGCTATTAGCAGGAAGGATATATTTCACCACTTATTTCTGCAGCAGCAAGATGTATTTGGGCCGTGTCTAATTTCCACTGGAAGTTCAATGTTGTGCATGGTTTAAAATAATACCACCTTCAAATAGGAAGTTCAAGTCATCTCACAATTATGCTAATCCCTTTAGATATTAATGTTCTATAGTTGACCGTTACAATCAGGCGGCGTTTTGGAAACAGTATCCTGAAAAGCATATCCTAAACGAGAAAGATATTTAAACCTGTCAACAATGACAGATACGCTTTAGTAATGCAAGTTTGTTGTTATAGTTATAAGGCTTACGATTACTTTCATAACAGACGAATTTCATTTTATCAAAATGCTCCTTGTAGCCTTGTCTGCCCACAATCCGTAGTAGGCTTCACTAAGTGTGAGCATAGTTCTTTCCAAGAGGTTTATTTAACTCTATTCAAACTGGCAATCTATTCGAAGAATGTCCATAAAATAATACGCTTATAATTTTTCTCTTTACTTTTAGGTAGTGATATCGTTCACTGGTTGATGGAACACACTGGTGCTAGCGATGTTACTGAAGCAGTTCATCTTGCTAGCCGTATTGCGTCTATGGGCTACATTTTTTGCATTGACGACCATGTGCTGACAGTTAAAAATGATGGGCATACTTATTACAGATTTCAAACACCTTTTCTTTACCCAAGTCGATGCATGGAAGCAGATACTGCAGATTATGCTGTATACTTGTGTAAACGCACTATGCAAAATAAACAAAGACTAGAGTTAGCCGGATTCGAAGCTGAACGTTTGGCTAGTTTACAGAATATTTACTGTCACAAATGGGAATTTATTTATATACAAGTAAGTCAGTTTGGAAACATTGTCGGCTGTCTAAACTATACTAGAGTATACACTTTCATGAATTGAGCGATGAGTCGCGTGTATTATGTGAGGATAATGACGTTACTTACGTAACCGAACTGTATTATGTAAAGTTAACTTTAAGTGTATTAACCACGTGTTAATCTGGATCTGCGAACTACAACTTCACTTTAACTAACACTCAGTGCATCACAAGAAAGTTTATTATACTAACCAGTTGTTTAGACCTATGTATGCGGAATTGTTCAGATCACTAAATTGACAATTTTTAGTCTGCTACCTATAGCACTGAACCACAACTCTGCGGTTATTCAGTGAACTAATCAATTATTAAAGTCTATGGGTTTAGTTTATACACCTAGAATTTGCGTGAAAACATCTGTGCTCTACTCCCACGCTCTCAGTGAGAATTCATGTATGACGGAAAATAAATGTGTAATCGCAGAATTTGAAAGACATCTAGGTGGATCGGACAACATATGCAGATGGAAAGTTGTGTCCTTCCGTATCTATCAAAGCAATGTGATAACAATAGATTAATTAATAGTGAACATGGGTTGGTAAAAAAACACATCTTCCTACCATCATATCTTTCCCAGATTCTTATATCGATTGGTTTTCAGATTCATTTCATAGTGAAGCTAGTTATACTATGAAGGCAGCTGGAGTTGTAAATCTCTGTCAATTCAGATCCCTTAAACATATTTAAACATGATGAAACACCATCTTCCTCGACATCATGGGGTGTTGAAAAAGTTGTCAAGTCAAAGCATGTCACGAATTCTGTAGTCATTCACTGTTAGTGTAAATAACTTGGAATAATGTACGTTGCTTTGCTGAACTCCTCACAATGCTAGGAGTCAAAGTTAAAGACTTTAATTGAAGTGGTTGAAAAAGTTTGGCACTAAATTTAATATATGGATTCCCCTTACATAATAAATTGTTTCTTAAACAAACTCCAAGCTTGTCTAGGAAAAAAATTAGGTAATCAACACCCGTGTTGTTTTGTGTTATACAAAGCTGCTACCTTGACGTGGTGGTCGGGCTTGAACACCGCAATGATCTATTCAAGCTATACTGGCTGAGACTTATGTCTCTTGAGGTACTACCATGCCAGGCAGGTTGTTTGGATAGCGGTTAAACAAAAAGCAGCTACCCAATCCAACATCATGTCCAATACAAAATCACAAAATTTCATGCCGGATCGGCCGTGGCCCGGATTAACAACGAACGCGCTTCCTGCTGCCGTGTCACAGGGCAGGAGTGATAAATCTGCTACTGAGACACACCAAACAAAAAAGAACGAACAAAAACAGGCCGCGTGTGACCGGCCTCAAGCAGTTGTCCCCTGGGCTCTGCGGTCACGCAACCAACTTCCACGGTGTGGGCAGCCGGGAAGTAACAATCGCCCTCACAATCCGAAATGCACACGAAACCTCTCTATTACTCACTCATCTTTGTCTTCATCTTCATCTCTATCATCTTGCCTTCCTTCCACTGATGCAACTCCTCGACTTGATAGCTCTTCACTTCCTCTCCACTCTGCGTCCACTAAAAACGATGGAAGCCAAAAAACCACCACCGATAGCCTCCTAAAGCCACGCCACCAATTTCATATAGGAGCTCTTAATGTTAGGACACTTTGCCAAATAGGACAACAAGCATCACTAGCCAAGACCCTGGCATCACGAGCCATTGATGTATGCTGTGTTTCAGAAACACGCATACAAGACCCAAGTGTGGTTATTCACCTAACCCCACCTGGCCAACAGGTTGAATCTGCAAAATTCACCTTGAGGGTGTCAGGAGATGCCACAGCTAGTTCACGAGGATTAGCTGGCGTAGGGATAGCTTTGAGTACTAGGGCAGAAAAGACATTGCTTGACTGGATCCCGGTAGATAGCCGAATGTGTGCTGTCCGCCTGAACGGATCAGTAAGAAGGAGGAAGGACTGCACTACTCGCCGATGCCTTTTCGTAATCTCCGCCTACGCCCCCACTGACTGCAGTTCAGATGAAACGAAGGATGAGTTCTACCAAAAGCTGTCTAGTTTGGTGAGAAAGGCTAAACGCTCAGACATAGTCGTTCTAGCTGGTGACTTTAACGCTCAAGTAGGGAAATTGTGTCAATCTGAGAAGGATGTCGGTGGCACCTATGGAGCTCCGTGCCAGCGAACCGACAACGGTGACCGTCTCCTACAGTTCTGTTCAGATAATCATTTGTTTCTTGTAAGCACTAACTTTAAACACAAGGAAAGACACTGTTTGACTTGGAGACCCCCTTCATCAAACCAACGCTGGACACAAATAGACCACATAGCAATAAGCTATCGTTGGCGTGGGTCGGTAGGAGATTGTCGCTCCTTCTGGAACACGTGCGTAGATACCGACCATGCACTGGTCCGCGCTCGGGTGTGCTTACGACTGAACGGACGTAGGAAACAGCTGGCGGTAAAACCATCACGTCCCCAGCTCGATCAGGAAACTAAATCCGTATTTGAGGAAGAACTAGCTAAACACATATCTGTGTTCGACAGCTGTGTTCACCCTGAAGAAGGTTGGAAAAATATCCAGGCAGCCATAGATACAGCTGTAAAAGCTGTGAATAAGGTAAACCCAAAGGTGAGTAAAAACCACTGGATCTCCACCGCCTCATCCGAACTGATAGATGCTAGAAGACTTATTCCGGCGAGCTCCGAATTCAATGAGGAGCGAAAGCTGCACAAAAGGAAACTTACGAAAAGTCTCCGCAAGGACCGTGAACAGTGGTGGGCGACAAAAGCCAAAGAGATGGAGAAAGCTTTGAGGATAGGCAACACCAGGCAACTATTTAGACTCATTAGGGAAACGGGTGGGAGAAGACAAATCATCAGTGAGACAATCTCGGAAAAAAATGGCACTATAATTAGCTCCCAGTGTAACAACAGAAGACAAGGGCCAGGCAACAGATCGTTTTATTATGAAAATCAACACTTATACATATTTCACATACATTATTATAGACAAGCGCAGTCATCTGATTGGTTGTTTATCAGAAGCTAGGCAGACAAACGCAGGCTTCTGATTGGTTGTTTCGGGTTCCTCGACAAATAGAGTTCTCTATCTGCGAATCATATTTTGCCACGTTAACTTTGCTGTGATTGGTTGTTGAATCAGCCTTGCTCATATTTTCACACGGCCTGCTCTCACCACACCAGGATAGACGACTGGATAGTTGGAAAGAGCATTATGAGGAGCAGTTTAATTTGCCCACAGCCACGCTCAACCTTCCGAGCATCCAACACCTCCCTGAATGGGATATAGACACAGGTCCTCCGTCACTAACTGAGGTTACTAAAGCTGTCACCAATCTGAAACTAGGCAAAGCAGCGGGACCTGATGGAATGACTCCAGAGGTATTTAAGTGCGGTAGAGACAGCTTACTGTCTGGATTAACTGAGGTACTAGGCAGCGTCTGGGAATCAGAAGAAGTCCCATCGGGTTGGTGTAAGTCACTGATTATCCCCATATACAAGAAGGGAGACAAGTCTTCCTGTGATAATCACAGAGGGATTAGCTTGACTAATATATTATCTAAAGTCTTAGGCTCAATAATCATGCGTAGACTGAGTGGTGCTCGGGAAGCACAAACACGAGAGAGCCAGACAGGCTTTAGACCAGGAAGAGGGTGTATTGATCGTATCTTCACCCTCCGACAGATTCTAGAACATAGGCATTCCTACCGGCGTCCAACAGTCATTATATTTCTTGACCTAAAGGCAGCATTCGACTCTGTCGATCGGGAAGTTCTCTGGAGATGCTTGGCTGTAAAGGGAATTCCAAGAAAATATATTGCACTGATTAAGGCACTCTACTCGTACTCATACAGCCAGGTGAGGGCTTACGGCGAGCTGTCATCTGAACTGATGACGACCAGTGGTGTCCGTCAAGGATGCCCATTATCTCCTTTTCTATTCAACTTCATCATAGATGTGTTAATGGACTTAACCCTAGGTGACTTCAGCGACTCAGGGATTGACTTGCTACCGGGGAATAATCTCGTTGACTTGGAATATGCAGACGGTATAGTCCTTCTAGGCGAAGACGCTGACGAAATGCAGAGTCTTCTAAACACCTTGAGCCGCAATCTACGAATGTTTGGCATGCGATTCGCTCCCGCCAAATGCAAGATGATGTTACAGGACTGACTGGACTACATCGACGCCTAGTTTAAAAATAGGAAGTGAAGTGGTAGAGCACGTTGACCGCTTCACTTATTTGGGAAGTACCATCAGCCAACGCCAACGGGATGATCTCTGACGAAATCTCAGCACGAATACAAGGGGCTCGTTTCGCATTTGTTAGTTTACGCCGACTCTGGTGTAGACGAGATGTTCGACTATCGACCAAAGGGCGGGTGTACTGCTCATCAGTCCGCTCCGTCCTCCTTTATGGATGGTTGTGAGACCTGGCCACTGAGAGTGGAAGACATGAAAAGCTTGTCTAGCTGTCTTTGATCATAGGTGCCTGCGTTCTATTTCCCGTGTAAAGTGGCATAATAAGGTGAGCAACATGGAGGTTAGGCGTAGAGTTCTAGGTAAACAGGGGAAATCAATCGACGAAGTCGTGAAGCTACAAAGACTGAGATGGTTAGGACATGTGTTACGTATGCCAAGCCATCGCCTCCCTCGACGAGCTATGTTAGCGGATATAGGGTCAGGCTGGAAAAAACCTAGCGGCGGTCAAACAAAAACTTGGCCGAACCAGTCAATGAAATCCACAACAGTTGGTCTAAGCCACGTAGAAAGGTGTAGACTTCCAGGCTGGGGTCCTCGGGACGGTAAAAATCTATGGTTGGAAACAATTGGTGACATGGCTCAAAATCGTTCTCAGTGGCTAACGCAGATGCATCCACTCCCTGTGACTTATGATCTTCAGTGAAACTGTTTTGTATTTCTTTATTACTCCTTTGTCTCACACCTCTGCTCACTGTTTCTATTATGCTTTTCTTGTACTTTCTTCTCTTGCTTCGCGTGCTACACGGAATGTGGCGACTTGAACTTCCGCACATTTGTGCAAAGTTCTATGTCGAAAACAGACAGACAGTTATACAAACGTAGTGCACTTCTTTATGGTATGTGTGTGGCTTGTCAGTTTTTACCAAGTGAATTCCAGTCTTTCGTACATCAGGCTAGACGGCCATCAGATTTTCTTCAGCCTGTGCGTCGAGACAGTATTCTAAGTCTCATGTAAAGTATGAAAAGATAACTCGGTAAAACTCACCATTCGCAAAATCTGTATATTTAGTCATTAAATCCACTGTCGCTAAATTATCGTTATCCGTATACATGGACTGTCTTGCTTATTTTTAATCATCATATGTGTTCTAATTTTTGTCGCTTATTCGTTACTTTTTGAATTCTCAGTCTGTCTGTACCGCTTTTAGTGGTTAATTATGTGATTTTAGAAAGTTTACTTCCAGTACAGTATCTAAAATGGTTATTGGGATATGGTGTATCGCAGTCACCACCCACAATCTTCGCACATTAATGTGAATCCAATAACAGGCTCAGTCAGAACTCTGGAATGTCTTGCTGTTGATGTATACTTGATAAAAGATTCCAGCACACAAAATCCCAGTGAAATAGTTTAAATTACTTCCTCATATTTCATGTGTATTAATACATTTCGAGTCTATCTACAATGGGACCTTACGTCATCGACTCCCCGCTTCCGGTGTGTCAGTAAGTGATAAATCCAAGATGTATCACTGCCCTAAGCAAACGTTTATGTGCTGCTATATTGAAAGGTTATATTAGGGTTAAAAGTATCTTAACAGATAAGCTTTGTCTTTTCTTTGTCGATAGATAGCGTTCTGAATACAACTAAACAAGAGTTCTACCACTAACTAATTGACCCTCTCAAGTAAGATTGCCTGAAAGATGTACAGTGCTAAATGTGGACTGCAAGGAGAAAATCAGGTGTCTAGGCTCAGAGGAGAGTTGTTTAGGTGATCATAAGTCAATAGGTGGTCGCATTTCAAATGAAGAAAACTGTCTGTTGCAGCTTTGTGCGTATCAGAACGCACTTATTTGGAGCAACAATTTCCAGCATAGCCGTCAATTTAGTACCACTCAGCGTCTTACTTCTGCCATTCAAGCTCAGACTCAACTAGATCACATGATAGCTGCCGATGATGTGGGTGCATACGGGGCTATCATCTTGTCTTCTGTATTTCTATCTTTCTCCAATGTATACCAGATTTTCTCGCGATTTGGTGGTGATTACAGACGTCGTTGCGCACCTTCTAATATAGCCAAATGTCAATATGATCTATATTTAGGGTTAGCTACTAACCTTTCAAAGAGTATAGACCAACACCGCTCGTATTTAAAGGGCGCTGAGATCTCAAGGGAAGCTACTTAAAATTTTATCACATTTTCTAAGTACAGCCATTATAACGGTTTGATATCGTAAGCTGTAAGCTTTTTTCACGTTAGATTGTGTTAACTAATCACTCAGTTTTCACTTTTAGAGACATATTATACTTTCTTTTTAACTAGCATATGCGTATTGCATATATAATTTTTCAGGCTGAAGCAGAAGCTAAAGTAGATAAGAAAAGAGATAAACTGGAGAGATTGGTCCTTGAGTCACAAGAAAGAGCTTATTGGGATTTACATCGGCCTCCACCAGGTTGTATCAACACAACTGACATTGATATGCGTAAATTATGTCGTGCTAAACGTCCTAAAAAGACTCCATCACGACCTGTGAATTTCCCTATTCCAAGTGGTCCAGGTCAGTTTGTTGCACAAGTGTTTAATTAGCGTTACCCATAAATTTTGTACTGCCAATTAACTGTTTTAGTTAGATTTGTATGATTCGTTTGACCCTTGCAAATTTGACTTATCCACGTTCATATGACGTCTACTTCTGATGAACCTCAGTATCAAATGTCTGTATCTTCGAATCCATCTCCCCCAGGTAACTTGATTAGTTACACTTCGAAAACTCCATCTCCAAACAAATAGACAACTGTTTACAGGATACATATAAAACCTTAATTGCAAGCTGATTCGTAGGTTGATTATCAGATCGCACCACACTGTTATGTAGAAAAATGAAATCAACCTCATAAATGGTGGTCTGCTTCAATTCTTGAGGTCTCATAGGTGAAATATACATCACATGGCAATTATATAGGTATCGCGAGATAACCTGGGAATAAGGATGTGTAGATAATCACAGAATTTTTTTAAAAAAAGAGGAGAATAATTCGCTCACACAGCTTTTAACCTCTGTTTTTTGCAGTGACTAAACAGTAGCGCTATTCGAAATCAGCGTCCTAGTACATGTTCACATAACAGATTATGAAACACGTTGATTTTGTGAGGATATACGCTACTAGTTGAGTACTCAGGTTTAGATGGAATGAAAATTTATTTAGAGACCCAATATTTAAAACTCAGATGTCCAAGACAATAAGCTATAATGTATTATCCTCGTTGATTTAATATTATCTTTGTTCGACTGAGTCAAAGGTTCAGGAGTTGGCATTATGCAAACAAGTGACTACAAATGCAAAAAGTTACCTTTTCTTTGGAACGGAAGCAAATTTACTTGAGTTTATACTTCAGAAGATGAGCATATATTACTTTAGTGAAATTTGTCAGCCTAAATGATATCAACCAAAACTACTTCGACTCATAAAATTCAACAGAGTTCAACTTATCACACTATCTACATCCAACTTTAATGTGTAAATCACCATAACACAAACTTCCTCGATGACTGACTGAGTTTCAACGCGGGATTTCGCACAAGAGTACATCAGTTCAAGTCTCATGTAGCACGTAAAGGTAGACAAGAGAGAGAAAAAATATTCAAAACGTCAGTCGAATGGTGGTCAACCCCCCTACCTCAACTTCATTGACTTTGAAATGGCCTTCAACAGCGTTGAGAACGAAGTAATTTGGAAACTACTTCAACACGATAGAGTGCCCCAAATCTTCATCACCCTAATCCAACAGCTATATGACAATGTCAGGTAATCCACAGCGGAAAACTCAGCGAAGCGTTTGAAGTGAATACAGGATTAAGACAATGCTGTCTACTATCACTGATAACATTTTCATTTGTGGTAGTTTATACCTCAGCAATACTTTGCACCAATACGAACACTGTAAATCTGAATTTTGCTGATTATTAATGTTTAATGCCACACAAACTCAGAAACTTTCACGTGACAACCAACAACCTGGCAGAAGAAACAGAAAAGACAGGACTTCAAGTAAACATCGAGAAGACGAAAGTGATGAACAACAACGTAAACCAATCACTATTGACGGAGGAAATTTGAAAGAGACCACTTCATGCACTTTTCTAGGCAGCTTCGTTTCAACTATAGGCTATGACACAGATGAGGATGTGAAAACCTGAATTGGGAAGGCCAGGCACACCATCACTCTGAAATCAGTTTGGAAATCTTCGGCACTGCACTCAGCAAAAAGAATAAAATCCGGATTTTCAAAACCAGTGTTAAATCAGTCAGTCAATTCTTCTATATGGGTCAGAAACTTGCACTGCACATCACGAAAAGCATTTCCAATAATTAGCGACAGACTTTTATCAACAGCTGCCTTAGCTAGATCCATATTGAAGATCAAATGGCCGGCCAGAGAGAATTAGCAACAAGAAACTCTGCGAACCTTCCAATAAGGAGCCTACGTGCTCAACAAATGTGTAAAAGAAAATGAAGATGGATAGGGCATATGTCGAGGATACCGTGGAAGACATGAAAAGATTAGCTGTCTTTGATCATAAGTGCCTGCGTTCTATTTCCCATGTGAAGTGGTATAATAAGGTGAGCAATATTGAGGTTAGGTGTTGAGTTCTAGGTAAGGAGGGGAAATCAATCGACGAGGTTGTGGAGTTACATAGACTGAGATGGTTAGGACATGTGTTACGTATGCCTAGCCTAGTCATCGCCTTCCTCGACGAGCAATGTTAGCTGATATAGGGCCAGGCTGGAAAAGAGCTAGCGGTGGTCAAACCAAAACATGGCACCAGTCAATGAGATCTACAACAGTTACTCTAAGCCATTTAGGAAGGTGTAGACTTCCTGACTGGTTGGGGTCCTTGGGACGGTAAAAACCAATGGTTGGAAATAATTGATGACATGGCTCAAAATCGTTCTCAATGGCTGGCGCAGATGCATCCACTTCTTGCGACTTATGATTTACATTGAAACTGTTTTTTTTCTTCGTTATTACTCCTCCTTTGTCTCACACCTCTGTTTACTGTCTCTATTATGCATTTCTTCTACTTTCTTCTCCTGCTTTGTGTGCTACATGAAGTGTGGCAACTTGAACTGCCGCACCTATGTGCAAAGTTCTATGTCGAAAACAGACAGCCGTCTAATGACATCGCTCGAGTAGAACCCTAATTGGAATCGATGAGCAAGTAGTTGGTGCGAGGGTGACATAGAGGAGATAAGAGATTATGGTCAATCGTTGGCCGAGATGAAGAGAACAGCTGAAAATAGGACAAAGTGGAGATGTGTTGCCTGAAGTCTTATGTTACACTCAGAACCCAAGGGAGCAATAACAGTAAGACAGAAATATGAAGGAGAAAGAATAGTAATATGGGAAAAGCAAGAGAAAAACAATGGAACTATATAAATGAATTTAGGAAGTCGTGTGATTACCTTGATATGATTATGAGCAATAAATTGTGCTCGAAACGTCATCAGTAAACATTACTGTATAACACTGTGAGACTTTATCAAAACAAAATTTACCCATAATGGAATTACACTCTACCACAGTGCACAAGTTTTATTCTTATATCAATGAAAAGCATGACAGTTTAGTGGATATGGGAGATTACAAAGAGTAAATGCATCTGTGAATCCTCAGCATAGCTTTTCCATCATTTGACCTATATTCATTTCCTTACCTCTTAACTCGCCATTAGTTTTCATAAAAATTTCTGTGAAAAATGCGTGTGTGTTCAGTTTGTTTTAAATGTGTTGCGCGAAGCCACTACACGATTCTGATAATACAAATCTTATTATATTGTCTAAATTCATCAATGGAACGAATTGTCTCACATATTATATCCGCTATATGGTTACAAGTGTTATTGACAGTAGATGACATCATGGTTAGGAATTCCAATTTAAAGTAGAATAGTTTCTCTGTGCATTTTCATATCTAGATGTTTTCTGTCGTCTACTAGGTCATAACGAAAACTCATGAAAATGCGAGCAATTTTCTCATGAAAAATACGTTTTTCTTTACTTTAAGTGTGATACCTCACTTTCTATGTAAGCTACCTCTGCACATTTCAGATGGATCCATTCTATTCTCAGTTTTGGATGATCTGTCACCACGAGATCGAATAGCTAAACTTCATGCTTGTTCACGTACAAGAATTAAACTATCAAAGGCTGCTGAAAGTTTACAAGTATGTTTTTGTTTATTGAATAGATTTTACTTTTATAGACCTACTGTATTCAGGATTGTCTACTAATTATATGAGTCAGACATGTGGCATGTTTAGTAACTGACACAAAAACGACAAACAAATTCATGTGACGGAATGGAAACAGTATGTTTTCTTGAGGTTCTCGATAATTCCAGTTTTCGATAACTTAAGGGAACAGGATGATTGTAAAACTTTAACTCTATGGCTGAAAATTTATTTTCTAAAACGAGGATCACATTAAAATAATTAGTATTGAGGAGAGTAAAAATGTGATTCATTGGCCGAAGAGCTTGGTTTACATCCGATAGGTCACCGATTCGTGTTCTTATCCACCTACTTCAGCCCTAGCAAGTGGATGGTATCATCAGTCCTCACTCTATAAGTGTGACCCTCAGTTTGGTAGATAACAGAACTGTTCCCCGCAACTGAGTTTAAACAAATCAAACAGTATCAGGGAAGAGTACATAATACCCACGCGCTTTCTATGCAAAGACGTAAAACTTTACGCTCATTAACCTGCAGATATGTAATCCATTAGTTAAACTTCAAGTGTAGCAGCTGTCTGTAGATCATGTTTGTTTCCCTTTATCCAATAGAAATTGGTTGGCTTCCTTGATCCACCGAGGGAGAGGGCTCTGGAGTGCTTTTGCACAGGATGATACTACATGTCGGTCTTGTCTCTCAAGAGGCAAAGATAGTTATGTTTGGTTCTCCTGAAAACAAATACCCAGTCAATGAGTGTACCATTATAGCTTCCTTGTTATTGTATTTATTTAGTATATCACGATATAAAACAGTATTGTCCACTGAATAAAGTTTTGAATACAATTTACTTTCAGACTTATATCAAAGTGACTCCAAGACATGTCTTTTACTGCCTTTTTTTATTCTGTTATCAATCAAAGTAGGAAAATTTCTCAAATATCTGGAACTTGTTCTGTGTCATTTCAATTACAAATTTTCTAGCACTAATTGAGTAAATTAGTTAGGTTATTTTTCTATTTAAGTTAATTTCAAAAAATGATACCTTATCCCATCCTGTTGTATGTAATGGTCTAAACAATGTTTTATTTAGATTCTTCAACGTGTAAAGGTCTGTCATTCCTGATTTAGTCGAGTTATTTTATTCTGATAAACTTGGACCAGATAACAGTGTATCATAATGTGGGAGTTTTACTCTAATAATATTATGACTTTTATATCCATCTTATTTCTTATTCCAGAACTATTCTGATCAGTACTCTGAATTCGACCTATTGTTATTCACGTCAACATCTGTTGGATTTTCTTCTCCTTCGGGAACTGGTGTAAATCAACCAAATACACTTACTCCCACTGGTCAGTTGATATCAGGTGGTGGGGTGAATACTAATGCTAATTCATCATCCTCATCTGCTGTACCTGGATCTATTCTGCGTTCATCTGGGGATAAATTGATTCATCATACACGAAGTATATCAGCTACTGGATTCAATGGAATCTCATCATTAACTTCTATGTCACTTGCTCGTACAGGCAGTGGAGTAGCAAATGGTGCACAAAATGTTACTGCAAGTGGACAGATTTCCAGTGGACATGGTTCATCTGGACATATGGTGAATGTTGCTAGTGCACCCACTTCAGGTAATTAATTGGTTAAATTTATATAAATGTGTGCTCTCCTTGCATAATCTGATGTACGTTGTTGTCATAGTGTTATTGCTAATGTTTATAGTTGAGTCATTATCGTTCTTTAAATGTAGGCATGACCGACATTTCAAGTTAAATAGACATCTTGCTTATAGTGGTATTGGAAAGGATTGTCTAGATGTCTTGGCTTCCTCTATAGCTGTTAGTCACTAACACGAACCTCAAACCGAAGTCTCCCGTATATAAATGAAATTTATCACCTATTATTATAAGTCAAATTTTTCAACACCATTTCTAATTCGAATACATTACTCACCACTATTGCTTTCTTATTATTATTATTATTACTTGTCAGTGTATGATCCAACACAAGAACCAGTTAGTGCATTGAACCCATGGATTTCAGACAATCCAGATTATTGGAATACAGATGTGCGTCCTAAATACTTGCCTATACGTCGTATTAAACGTTGGAGTTTTTCAATCCATGAATTACTGAAAGATCCAGTTGGTTTAGAAGAATTTCAACGGTGGTTAGAAAAAGAATTTTCAGCAGAAAATCTAAGATTTTGGCAGGCTTGTCAGGTAAGAGATGTTTGTGTGCACTCATTTGTCTGTATGTATCGTCTGCTTCTAGTGCGAAATTTGGTATTTGTTATTATTATTACTTGGGTATTGAGCTTGTCATCGGGCAATGTTTTTACTATAGCTTTGCATTTCCATTAGCGTTTAATGGGGAACAAGGCTGACTACTCTGTTAACAGATCGGTCATTAATCGATAACCCTGGTCATGCTAGTGGTTTCAACTTTTGTAGGAAAGTGGCTTAGAATTTCATAGGTTGCAGTAATAATGATTAGTGGCTTAAGACTATATTGTACGATATCGATGGTTTTTCTGCACTGTTTGGGAATGGTGGGGATAAGTTATTAACTACACTAACTAGGGTACTTGCTGATGTATGAAGGTCGAGAATTATTCCACACACTTATGTAGGTCGTTGTTTTTGCCAGTTTTTAGGAAAGGGTTGGAATTTATCCTGTGGTAACCACAGAATGTTCAGCTTGGCTAATGTAGTATGTAGGAAACGCATTTATACGAAGGCTAAGTAGGATTACGAAAAAACGACCTCCAAAGACCAGTCAGTTTTCATTTCCGGGTGATAGTGCATTGGCCAGATCCTTACCGTTCAACAGGTTTTGGAACTCAGACGCACTGAGTGTCCTTTAACACACCATGTTTTCGACCTATTGATGGCATTTCATTCTCGGTCGTTGGATATTGTACTTATTTCTGGCTGTGATGAAAGGATTGTGGGAAATTGGATTGTGCTCATCAAGGTACTTTGTTAGAATTTACACAGACTTGTGGAAAGTGACATTTAACAGTGGGCGCCAAACATGTCCAGTGTTATTATTTTTACTTATTTGTGTTGTAAGCTTACTGAGTGATGTGATTTCATCTGATTTCCGCCTCTAAGAAATTGATTAAAAACCAAGAAAATAGCTAATTGACTTAGAGTATATTATTATTATTCCCTTGGGTTCCGAGTGAAAAATAGGGCTTCAACAACACATCTCCACTTTCTCCTATTCTCTGCAGTCCTCCTTAGCTGGTGCCATGATTACCCATTAGCTTTCATATCCTCCTCACACGATCTCCTCTATGTCACTCTCAGACACCCAGTTAGTAGTCTCTGTTCCAGGTCCCCCTCGAGCTCTAGCCTGGAGTTCTAACTCACCCAACAGTCTACTTAGCGTGTGTCCGACACGTCTCTATTTTCATCTACATATTTGTTGAGCATAAGGTTTCCAGGTGGTTGATTCCCAGAGTTTCTTGCTGCTAATTCTTTCCACCTACCATATGACCTTCAATATTGATCCAGGTGTTGATAAAAGTTTGTCACTAGCTGTTTGAAATGCTTACCGTGACACGTCAAGTTTCTAACTGACTGACTTAACATTGGTGTTGAAAATCCAGATTTTGTTCTTTCTGCTGAGTGCAGTACAGGTTTACAAACTGATTTTAGGGTAATGGTAGTCTGTCTTGCCTTTCCGATTCTGGTTGGTTCTGACATCCTGACCCGTGTTCGGCTGTCTGTAGTTGAAACGATTCTGCGTAACCAGATAAGTGGAGGAAGTGACCTCTTCCAAATTTCTTCCGTTGATAATGATTGATGTTTGTTGTTGTTGCTGTTGGTTGGTTATCTTCATCACCGAGTTCTCTATGATCACTCACAGTACACAGATGATATACCCATATTGGATAAAAATGTTGACAAAATATAGAGTGCTCAACGCCTCGAGCTAAAAACCTAGTCATGTCCGGTATGCTTTTCATCCGTGTCAAGTGTAAAATAACTCCACAAAACTGGTTTGCATTAACTTCTACTTTAAAAATAAAGAATAAAGGTGGTCAAATGTTCTGACCACTGACTATCCAGGATGTTGTATAAGTCTAAATGGACGACTTATTGCCGACTAAATTTCAGCATGGCTACGAAACGTTCATTTGACATCCGCTAACTCGCGTCATCTTTGGCATCGGAGAAATATTCAGCCATATATCAGTGGACATGCGTAGTGTGCAACAGTTCCACTATGGACGTATCAAGCATTAAGTGGACCAATGCGGTGAGTAGTAGTGTTGTTGTTATGCGTCGTATTAGATAAGGATAGTCAGTCACTTGAAGTAACTAGACTATGTGTCACGCATGTTTAGCCACCGTCCTCCTCAAAGATTAATGTAAATTAAAGTAAGATTAAGTTAGAAAAGAGTAAAAATTAAGTAGTTATGTTAAAGCATAACACGAATCCGTGAATATACTGATTGTTAGGATAAGTTATGAAGGTAGATGTAGTTGACACGGCTGCTGTTGTTGTGATGCTAAGCACTAATTATTCGATACTTAGGAGAATAGACCAAAACTGTATATAGTAGCGCAAATGTTTTTATTCTGTGATCTTTGAAACTTTAAAAATCACTACTGTTAAACAAATCAGTCTTTTCTCTTTTTTGTATGCTCTAATGGAATGTGACAACTTGAACTGACACACTTCTGTGTGAAGCTCAACGTTGATTCTCCAGTCAATCACACTGAATGAATCACAATTTTACATATGTATATATGTATAATCTATTTACAATCTATGGAGATTTCTGTGTACAGATTGTACAGCTTCTATGATAACTGCTTCTGCTTATGTAACTACTCTCTGTTTTGTAGCTCAGATAAATATATGACATTCAGTCGACACTAAAGAATTTATTTGCCATCTATTAACCTTTATTTCTTCCCATATTGTCGTACAGGAGGGTACAAATTCTGTGTCAGCATTGATTGCAGCACAACCGTATGATGGAGTCCAAGTATTTTACATTATTATTTTTTCAGGAAGAAGACTTGGAAACTATGCGTAGGAATCTTTATAAAATCGATATTGAGGTGATGTTTAGACATTCAAATCCATTCAGAAAGAATTTCATTCTAAGAATTCCGTTGGTTCATTAAACCCTTCAGTTATAGGGCGAGCTCTAGTGGGAAGTTGTTGCCAGTTGGGTGCAGTAGGTCGCGTGTGAGAACAAATACTCGCCGATGACATTGGCTATTGGTCGCTCTATTTCGCGAATTAATAGAAGTTGGAATTCATCAACTGGTCATTGAGTCAGGTCCCAGTGTGGTGAGAGCAGGCTGCTAGCCGATTGGTTGTCACTAATATGGGCCGTGAGAAAATATGAACAAGCCTGAGTCAACAACCAATCACAGCAAAGTTAACGTGGCAGAATATGATTCGCAGAGAGAACTCTATTTGTCAAGGAATCCCGAAACAACCAATCAGAAGCCTGCGTTTGTCTACCTAAACAACCAATCAGATGACTGCGCTTGTCTATAATAATGTAGTTGAAAGATGTATAAATACGTGTTGATTTTCATAATAAAACGATCTGTTGCCTGGCCCTTGTCTTCTGTTGTTACATTTGGTGTCGCTGCCTACCGACAAATGGAAAGCCTATGCCCTGCTGTTTTTGATGGAGACATATGGATCTCCGGGCAGGACTTCAAGGCTTCTGCACAGTTGAGTGGCGTTCAAGATCTGTCAGCGATGGAGCTGCTACTTGGGACGCTGCTGGGAGGTCGGGTGAAAGCAGCATATGAAAGTGTGAGCCGAAGTATGGACGAATGTTCGACAGGGTCAGGCAAACAGTTTCCAAAGTGGGAAGGACCATATATGGTCACTTCGAGATGGGGTTACGCAGACACAGTCGCAATGGCGAACAATGAGAGGCGCGTGAACGTCAGCGAGCTCCAGAAATGGATACAGCGAGACAAGCCAACGATGACGCCTGCACCAAGTAGATCAAGCCGACTTCAGTCGCACGTATTTGACGGGGGGACGAGTGTGGTGAGAGCAGGCTGCTAGCCGATTGGTTGTCACTAATATGGGCCGTGAGAAAATATGAACAAGCCTGAGTCAACAACCAATCACAGCAAAGTTAACGTGGCAGAATATGATTCGCAGAGAGAACTCTATTTGTCAAGGAATCCCGAAACAACCAATCAGAAGCCTGCGTTTGTCTACCTAAACAACCAATCAGATGACTGCGCTTGTCTATAATAATGTAGTTGAAAGATGTATAAATACGTGTTGATTTTCATAATAAAACGATCTGTTGCCTGGCCCTTGTCTTCTGTTGTTACACCAGTAGCGTAATGGTCTATGACCTCGCCTTGTAACCGGAAGGTCGCAGGTTCAAACCTTGGCGGTGAGCGCACACTGCAGAGGAGTCCCAAACTAGGATGACAAAACAGCTGTCCAGTACTCTCCGGTTTTCCAATGGTCCTCTAACCGATGTCAGCTCATGATGAAATCCTGACACTAGTTGTATGCACATTTTCTACATGAGGTACACGACTTTGTCAATAATGAGATTCTGCTACTTTGATAATTAATGTAGTCAACCTGAACTAACACCTTTTGGGGGCGAGGTGAAGTCTTTTTGACTTCTGTTCTTTCCATATTTTATCAAGCATTTCGTTCTTAAATAATAAATCATGACCACGCATATTTTAACATGAACAGCTCAATAATTTATGTGGATTCAGTTGACAAAATCTATTTTTCTGTATCTCTTAAATATTTTTTCTGCTGAATAATTTTAGGTACTAAAAGGTGCTCCTCTTCGTGAAGTTCGCCAATCAATAATGAACATATATCAACAATACCTGGCACCGAATGCAGTAGAACCAATAAATATTGATAGTAGGATTGCTGATCTAGTTCGACGTCATATTGACGATGAATTGAATACAACACCGAATCGATATTGTTTTGAAGCTGCTGAAGAGCATATTTTTCATTTAATGAAATCAGACTCATATTGTCGTTTTCTACGATCTGATGTCTATCGTGAATTATTTCGTGGTGGTAAGAAAAAATCTAAAAAACAACGTAGTGTAATAAATACGAGTACTTGTTCAGCACCTGGTGGGGGTGGTGCAATTCAGATTGCTGCATCAGTCAATTTTACTGGGATCGAGTAATCAACAACCCGATTGGGATAAACAATCGCATTTTTTAAGGTATCTTCTTTAATCAAATACTTCAGTACACTTTCTTTGTTTCCAATTTAATTTTTCTGCACTTTATCAATGTTATATTGTTACTTATGAGATTTAATTTTCACATTCAATATTATATGCAATTTAAATTTTTTCAAAGTTTTATACCCCCCTCCCTAAAGATCTATGCTCTTTTAATTCTATCATTGTATGTTCGATTAAAGGGGGGGAGTGAGTGAAATCAGATACCTTTGGTGACTTCAGCGCTTTCCATCCAACTAACTCTTCATCCGTTTCTTCTTACATCTAGTTTAGAGTTTAGTCTCCAGCATTTCATTTGTCCGGCTAGTTGTGGAATGTTTAATATAACTTCTTGAATGACTAGTCAACTTACCGAGGCTTGAAATTGACATCTTGTTGGCATTTTTTCTTCGACTGGGTTTCTTTTTACTGGTTCAACACGCGTATTCTGTCATTCCTGCAAACAAATTTCTGAGTCAGCAAGTGAAAAAGGATTATTTATTACGTTGCTAGATGTGTTCCACTGTGATATCTCAGTCTTTTCTTTGTTTTCATCCTCCTTTTGAAGTCCTATGCATTTATTATTTATATCCACTAATTTGTCTTTTCAATCTTTTCTTTTCTTTCCTGAATAATTCTGCTGACATTCATTGATTTATTCTGTTTGTGTAACTGCTTTACTTGAATTTGTTTAATGCTCAAAAACATTTATCAATCATTTGGTGTCCATTCCACATAGTGTTGTGTGTTGCATTGGGCAGCGAAATTTAATTTAACACAGGAATGTTTTTTTTGTACAGGTTATTCTATATTTATCATGCATATTTCATTCTGGGAATATTTTTTAAGCATTTGGTACTCTATAGTTGCATTTAAACTAATTTGACTTCTAATTTTATTATTTTACTTACTACAGATAGTTTATTTATTGACTGTGATCTTAATTTAATTTGTTGCTTTTTTTCGGCATATACTTATGTGACTACTTACAGTGTTTGTTTAAGTAGTAATCTGTGCAGCTCATTCATTATTGGGCACTGTGATGTATGTGTGACTATTATCATTGATATTTTACTTATTATTATTACTATTATTATTTATTCGAAATTTCCGCTTATCTTAACTGCATAGTGTAATTTTATGTGATAGTAAACTAAATTGTATTGCTGAAACTTTCGTCACACCAGTTACTTTTAGAATTATAAAATCATGTCATTGATAACCTGATATTTTCATTGAATAAACTATCTGAGCGTTGTTGCTAAACTAGCTTAATTATCGAATAGAACTTAAGATAACGAAAAACTTTCATTTTAGTTGTTGACATGTTTTGATAATACAGAATGGTGCAGGCCTGATCATCCAGCTATCCATCAGATGGGACGTGAACGCCGTATCTAGAAGTTATGCAAAATGTTTGTGCCCATAGGTATCTTCGTTCATTTGCTTATATTAGAAATAGAAATATCATAGGTATTGATATTGGTTGTTGATAAGCTTAGTAAGTTGGTCGACAATTTTACGAAACTTCATGGATTCATAAGGCTAAGCCGTGCGGTACCCACGCACAGTTACTGTACTTCTTGAAAAGCAGTATTAGCTAGTGTAAAATTAATTCGTTAAAACATACAGGTTACCAGACCCAAATTGATTCCTTGCTTTCCAAGTGGAACATAAGACTTCAAGCATTGAATTTTTAGTAGTGGTGGCGTTTTTATTTGGGTGTTACACTAGCCTCACGTCCAACCCCCGCTTTTTGGGTCTTATTTATTTATTTTTTTCATTTATTTATTTTTGATTACAGCTTGTTTCCACACTGTATTTTTGGTACAAGTATGGAATTTTCAGCATGGATATCGGTAGCCCAAATTTTGCAGGCCGACCATAGATATCAGGTGTGCGTCGGCAGGGGATCGAACCTCGGACCATGTGCATGATCGGCGAGAGTCCTAACCACTGTGCCACCGACGCACAAGGTTAAGGAGAGAGCGCCGGCGGGAGATCGAACGTGAACCTCCGGTATGACTGGCAAATATTCTACCACTTATGCACTGATGTTAGGAATATACTCAAAACATAGCTCTAATTCTTGAATTCATTGACTTCAGATGTCAACTGCGTATGAATATATAAGGCAAATGTCAGAGGTTGACAAGATGCTAAGAATCAGTGGTTGAGTACTTTAAGGAATAATTCATAACAGTCCACAATAGTGCAAAAGTATTCATTCTTTACTGTCTTCCAGATTATGAGCTACAACTTTTCATTTAATTATTCTCTCTCCCATACATCGTTCACTATGGTTCTATTCCTCATTGTAACGTGGGACACATTGCAGAAGACTACACCAATATACTACTCACAAATTCTAGTCAATAACACGCCCCACAACAGCACGTAAATGATTTCCACTCCTTCAGGTATTTTTTAAATATGATATTAGAGTATTTTCACTGGACACTAGTGCGACGTGTCTAGTCCTTCCTTTGGTGCAGACTGAATTCTACCAGTCAGGTCTTCAGTGTGGCCACCATTCTAGGTAGCTCGCCATCATGGTGTCTGTCTGGATTCAACATAGAACTTGGCACCGAAGTGCAGTAGTTCCAGTTGCCACGTTCCAAATAGCACACAAAGGTAGACAAGAAGATGAGCGAAGAGAATCAATACAGTCTGACAAGTATAAGAGTAAAACAGAATGGGTAATGGTAGAAAGAAATATGAAAGATTACAGAGACTGAATACATCTGCGCTGGCCATTGACAACGATTTTGAGCCATGTCACCTACTGTCTCCAGCCATTGATTCCTAGAGTCCCGAGGCCCCCAACCCGGAAGTCTGCATCTCCCTACCTGACCGACTCAGTTTAACTGTCAAGGATTTCATGGATTGATGAGGCCATGTTTTCGTTTGGCCACCACTTACTCTTTTCCAACCTGCACCTATCTATATCAGCTAGTAATGCCCGTCGGAGGGGGGGACGCGATGGTTAGGCATGTGCAGCACGTCACCTAGCCATCTTAATCTATGTAACTTTATAGCCTCGTCGATTGATTTTCCCTGTTTGCCCAACACTCTACGCCTAACGTCAACACTACTTACCTAATTAAACCGCCTAACGTGAGACAGAGATCGAAGACATCTATGATCGAAAGCAGTCAACCTTTTCATGTCTTCAACTCGTATTGGCCATGTTTCAGAGCCATAGAGAAGGACGGAGCGAACTGATGAGCAGTACACACGTCCCTTGGTTGATAACCGGATGTCACGCCTACGCCAGAGATGGTGTAAGTCAGCGAAAGCAGCTCGAGCTTTTTGGATCCGTGCTGAGATTTCGTCGCATATCAGTCCGTTGGTTCTGATACAACTTCCCAAATAGGTGAAGTTGTCAACATGTTCTATCACTTCACTCCCTATCACTAAGTTAGAAGTTGACGTGGTCCAGTCCTGTAGCAGCATTTTACATTTTACAGGGGCGAATCGCATGCCAAACATACGAAGATTGCTGCTCAAGGTGTTCAGAAGACTCTGCTGGATTTTGTCAGCATCCTCCCCTAACAGGACTATGTCATCTGCATATTCTAAGTCCATAAGACTATTCCCTGGTAAGAAGTCGATTCCTAAGTCATTACGTTCAGTTAAGGATACTTCCATCAGCATATCTATGATGAAGTTAAACAGAAATGGGGAAAGTGGACATCCCTGTCGGACACCACTGGTTGTTACCAATTCAGATGACAATTCCCCATAAGCCCTTACACGACTACGTGAGTTTGAATAGTGCCTTGATTAGTGCAATGTCCATCATGGTGTACGTTGATTTGATTATATTAGATGGTTGGAGGCAATCGGCAGGAAGCCTTGGACCTAGGTTTCGTGCTAGTTGGCCCTCATCAGCAAGGCGTATCTGCAGCCTTGAAGGAACTCATGTCCCTTCTGAGATTCGAACCCGCGTCTCCCAGTGCTGCAGTCAGAGACGTTACCACTGAGCTATTCGGACTCGCGATTGACCTCCTGTAGGACCGTAGTGAGTATTTTAATAATATTAAGGTCAAATTGTTATTTTAAGATCAGGCAGAATCGGTGGGTATATGACATTATCATTTTTACTAATACTTACTCGAACTCCTTAATCTTAAACCTTATCTTAAATATAACCGATATCTTTGAGACTTACCATACAATTATAATGCGTGGAAACAGTTGACAATAGAATGGCGAGTCTTACCTGCATATTAACTTCTATTATGGACATGAGTGGTAAACTGATAAAAAATATAGAATCCTCAATAGTTTCTTTATTTAAAGTCCTCACTTCTTTCAGTGTGCATCTGTATCCTCAATTGCTCATGCTCTTTAACATAAGGCGAGATGAGCAACTAACCTCTAAATTATATTTACTTTCAAAAAGCGGTAATTAACACTTTAAGGAACATCCTCTTATTTGGTTATCGAAATCTGTCTTATGGTTTGTATCTTCTATCCAATACCACTCTCAGTTTATCCTAGACTGAAGTAGATTAGTTTGTAATTTCATGAACTACAAAGAGAACAGAAGACTTTAATTAAGCTGAAACTGCCTTCACATAAAGTTCAGTTACTTGATATTTTATTTCTGATGAATTCAAATAATACTTCCTAATCTTATCGTGAAATATACCCACTAAATAGAATGTTCCTCACCTTTTTATCTATTGACAGATCAAGACAATAACTTAACAATAATTCCTAGCAATAAGGAATATATTTCGCTCACTGTTAGTTTTGAAACGTCTTTCAGTATGTCTGAGTTGGATCTACAGTGGGGTCATAGGTGCATACTACTGAAAGTCTCCAGACTAAGACGAAGCAGTTATCCAAGTCTTGTTGGTTTTCTATGGTCTGCTAACTCATACAAATCCGTTGTTTAACTTGAGACCAGTCATATCCCTCAAAATCAACACTTCAGAATGCTCTTACTTCAA